TTTGCCCATTACCGAAGTAAGACTAACTGTCCTTTAATTGTTTGGCATTTCCTTTGTACCCTTTTTAAGCAACAGAATCACATGTGCATTCCTCCAGTCCTTCAGCACCTCACCTGTATCTAGAGAAGATTGGAAAATAATCCTCTGAGCATCTGCTATTCCCCCCCTGACCTCTTTCAGCATCCTAGGGAATAATCCATTCGGCCTTGGCGATTTATCCACTTTCAAAGACTGCAACCCCTCTTACATGTCTTCTGTTGTTATGATTATTTTGTCCAAGATTTCACTCTGCTTCTCTTAGATTACTAGATCCACATAGTTCTTTTCCTTTATGAATGTGGAGACGAAAAATTCATTTAAAATTCTTCCCGTATCCTCTGCATCTTCATGTAAGTTGTCCTTCTTTATCTCTAGTAGGTCCCAATTTTTTTCTTAATGAGCCATTTGCTGTTTATATACTGGTAGAACATCTTTAGGTTTTCCTTTATTTTGATTGCTAATAGTTTTTCATGTCCTCTCTTTAACTTCCTTTTTTTTTAATTTGATCCCCCTACTTTCTGTGTTGCTGTAAGCTATCTGCAGTGTTGAGGGGGTTGCGTTTTTTGTGACTGTTGAAAGCTATTATAAGATTTTCCTGTTTAATTTTCCCATGTATTTTTCTAGACAACATGGGGATCTAGATTTGGCAGTACCATTCTTATTTTTGGAGGGGACTTGTCTCCCACTGATTCACCACTGATTTATCCTTTAGGGATCCTGTCATATCCACCTCGGCCAAATCACTTTTTGGTTTTGTAAAATTTGCCTTCTCCCAGTTTAAAACTTTTACTCCTGATTTATCTCTGTCCTTTTCCATAATAATACTAAATCTAAGTGAATTATGGTCACCATCCCTGATATGGTCGCCCACTGTCACTTCACCCACTTGCCCATCTTCAGTTCCCAAAATTAAATCCAGAATTGCATCACCTGTCATTGGCCTTGTCACATGCTGTTTAAAAAAAGTTTCTGGACACAATACATGAATTTTTCACCCTCAATGCCTCTGGTATTGTTTGAAACCGAGTTGGTATTGGGATAGTTAAAGACTCCAACTACTATTGCCCTCTTATTCCTACAGCAGAAATTTGTCTGCATTTGTCTTCTACCTCCCTCTCACTATTTGGAGGTCTCTGGTATACTCCAAGTAATGTTACTGCCTGTTTTTTACTCCTTAGTTCAAACCATAAAGCCTCATCTGTTATAACAAGGTGTAGAGCTGGATGAACACAGCAGGCCAAGCAGCATCATAGGAGCAGGAAGGCTGACGTTTCGGGCCTAGACCCTTTCTGATGAAGGGTCTAGGC